AATGGAGGTTATGAGCAGAATATATTTATTGAGGGAAAGAAAGCTCCTGTCTGAGGGAGGGACAGGCGAGGGACCTGAGCGGGTTGTTCCCCTGGATGCTTGTCTCTTTCAGGAACTTTTATAGTGTAAAACCATGCTGAGCTAAGGTGGAGAAATGGGGAATTTGCTTAGGTGGATGTGGGGTTGGACAAAACTATGGTTAACCAATGGGATTACAAATACCATTGCTCAGGTAAAATTGATTAGGCCCAGGACCATATGGGGTAGTGAGTCACGTAGCAAGTGGACATGAATATAAAACAGGACCTTATCTGATGGCCTTCAGACAATGATTCTTTCTGAGTAATAAGCAATCCTGGATGCCAACCTTTAGGGAGGTCAGCATTTGTTTGATCTTTAGGTCTGGCTCACAGCAGGAACATCTCCCACAGTTGTAAGGTGTCTGGTCTTTGTCATCTCCTTTGAGAGCCTGACCTTGTCTGACAGTCAATATTTCTAACTGAGGCTGTCTGCAACATTATGACCTATGCTAAGTACTATAGATGCTTTCTTTCATTGGTGCTTCACAATGATCCTGTGACAGGGATTCACAGTTTTCCATTCACTCTTTGATCCCACCTGTAATTACTTATGTGCCAGAGCTTTTTGGGGGTAAATTCTTAGGTCAAAAAGGTGAAATATTTTGAGATCATTGACATATATTATTAAAGTATTCCCTAAAACATCCCCTTTCAATAGTACAGAGGCCACTTTGGATTTGGGGCTTCTGTGAATCAATACTGAAGACTACTGGAGGAAAAAAGAAACCTAAATTCACTAAGGTTCTTTGAATTCTGATCTTCATCTTCAGTCCTCTAATTACTGTCCTGTAGTCCTCTGAGTCTTTAGTAGCTGCCCTAGGCATTCCATCTAGCTCTGTGACAGCCCTTGTGCATATGCATTTACCTGAAGCAGTCACAGAATCATACCCAATTTGAAAGGAAAGGAGTATTTATACATTGGTGGGATTATAGTCAAGAATATGGGAAGAGTTGAGTGAGTAAGCCATAGAACAAGCCAGGAAGCATGGAAATGTTGCACTGATAATCCAGTAAGGGAAACTGGAAAGTTGTCAACGTGTTAGTTAGAGAAAATAGAAGGGAGTATCATGAAGGTGAGAAAGTGTTTTAAGGCATAGGAGACTCAACAGTGAAACTCTTACTAGTGATTAAGAAATCGTGTAAGGTGAAGATGGGAGGATCATTGGTACCAAGTTGCTTATTGGCCTCTGTTGCGTGATGTGGATGGAAGTCAACTTAGAATGCACTGAGCCAGGAATGAGAGGGAGAAGGGTGAAGGTAGATTAGATCATTTTGCTTGTACTTTTAATGTGAAGGAAGCCAAGAAATGGGATAGTGGAGTGAAGAAACATTGATTTTACAGTACTATGGCTTCATGCATACTAGGCAAGCCCTCTGACCAGCATGCCCAGACTGTGTTATATTCTAAAGTGTGTTTTGTGTGCTACTGGAGACGTCTGTGAAGAGGGAGGTGTTCAGGGTTCAGGAGGGAGAGTGGGTAGTCACAGAAGCGGAAATCCTGAGCATGCTACATAGAATCCCATTCAGAACACAAGGGGAGCAACTTGTTTTTGTTTGTTGCAGGACACATTTAAACTGTAAGGAAGGCAAGAGGGTGGATGTAGCAGGTACGTGGAGTTTTTCTCTGATTCTTCTGTTTTTTTCCCATAAATTAGAGAACATCCTTGTCTTATCATGGGAGGGGGGGCACTGGCAGAGAGGAGAATGTGCAAAACTTGTCCTGGAGAGTGAGGGCTAGCTAAGAATGCAGAGTGGCTCAGTGTCTAATCGAGGTCTTGAAAACAGACAACACGTGTCTTCTACTGTGTTTGCTGCCTCAGGTGTAGGCTTAGAGAAGGTTGATGGTAGACTGAGGCTAGCTATGGTTTTATGAGGCAAATGTGATGGAGCGAGAGGGCAGTGAGGGAGCTGAAGTGATTGCAGATTTAATTACAGTGATGGGAGGGAGAATTCAAGCTGATAAGGAAGGAAGTGAAGACAGGGTATGGCAATGATGCATCATGTGACAGCAGTAGCTACAAGTAGTTGGAGATCAGCCATGGTAGATATGAAGGGTTCAAGGTCTGTGTGGAGGAAGGAGCATTTGAAGGGGTTTAGAGTAAAAGCCTGAAGGAGAAAAGGTAGTTGCTAGGGGTTAAATGTTCCATCTAGGCATCTGTACCTATATTGATTCATTGATGTTTAAGAAAATATAATTGACCATCCCCTCCTTGCCACTCCTTGAGTTCTTGGGTAAAGGGGGTGAACAGCAAAGTCTGCTGAAATGGAGTTTATATTCTACCAAGTGACAGATGACAGTGTTATCAACATTCAAGGGCTAAGCTCTCTAAAGAGGAATAGGTGAGTAATACGAAAAAAGAGGACAGTATGTGTTATTTTAGAAAGGGCAGTCAGGAAGTTCTCTCAGTGAGAGTGACACTTGGGCAGACCTCATTGAGGTGGAGTGAGTCATTCAAGTGGTTGGGGGAAGAGGGTTCTGGCACCAAAGCCTCAGGGAGAAGAGTGAAGCTGAGAGAGAGAGACAGAGAGAGAGAGAGAGAGAGAGAGAGAGAGAGAGAGAGAGAGAGACAGACAGACAGACAGACAGACAGACAGACAGACAGAGACACAGAGACACACAGAGACACAGAGAGAAGAGAGTGATGAAGAGAAGTGGAGAGGAGTTTGCTTTTACCCTGAGCATGACTGGAAGTTGGTGGGGCAGGGGGTGTAGTTCTTCTTCTGGAAATAGTGGAGTTCCCAATGATGACCTGCTCAAGGGTCATCATGGGAACGGGGACGTGATGGAAAAATGCTGGCTGAAGACAAGAAACCAAGTATGCAGATGAAGCTTCTACCTCTGTGTGGGGTCCCGTGATGTTGTAACTATTGATAGCGCTAGAGATGCAGTAGGAGAGTAGGACAGTGAGTCAAGGCTTGAAGGAAGGTAGCAGTGAGGAGGAAATGAGAAGAATTTTGTGGATGGTGGAAAGGAAGAAAGATGGCAAGTGACCTAGTCAGTGGCCGGAGTTTTCAAAGCAGCTCATGGTTTGGAAGGAGAAAAATCATCTGGAAGTGTTCTTGGGGCTTAAGGGAGTTTTCCCCCCACCTTCTGTCTCTTAAATATGCACATTTTACATAAAATGCCTTCATTGGAGAGTCCTAAGGACCACGAGGTCCTCCTTGGGCAGCCAGGTTACTATTAATGTGAGGTGGTGAAGTTCCCATTAGAAAGAGGTGAGGGCGGGCTTCTCACCTGGGTCAGAGTGGGTCATAGTTCTGTGTTGCACATTATTCCATGATGCTTTGGTAATTTTTGACTGAGTGTGCACGTGTACATTCACCCTGTCACGTTTACTCATGGGAATGCCAGACCCTATGTCCCAATTCACACAGTGTGTGAATTGTAGGAAAGAGCTAGAGTACTATTAGGGCTGTTTTCTGTCTTTTGATTGTGTGTGTACAATGCATATACACTGGTAGGATAATTAATCACTTGAGAATTAAGGGATGTGGTTTGCTGGGTATTTTGTTCCACTTAAATTTCCATACAGGTAAACTTCAGTCCTGTTGGGGAAAAATCCTTTCATTACTTCTCAAAAAATGAAATTACAGAAAAGAGTAGGTTTAAAGATTCCAAAAGGGTATGAGGAGAAGCCATTGAAGGGTTTTCTACATAAGTGATTTTGATCTCAAGTTGAATCCACCAGTTAGATGGAGGGACAGCGGGAGGGCAGGAACTCTGGAACCTGTACAGTTTTTCATTTTCTCTGTCATAGGTCATACACACAGAAAAAACGCTTCGTTAATGTATGAAGGTTAGAGGGGCTGGTGAGATGGCTCAGTGGTCTAAAGCACCTACTTAGAACAAGCTAAGCTAAGCAAAGCACAGGGACCGCGGTTCAATCCCCCAGCACCACATGCCAGCCAGCCCCGCCCCCTGGTGGGCTGAGCTGGCCACACACACACACACACACACACACACACACATAAATAAATAAATAAAAAAAAATTAAAAAAAAATGTATGAAGGTTAGAGAACAAGGAGGGTCAGTTTATGAGCCATGGTCGTGCCTCTGGCTGTCACTAGAATCAGTGGTGACCAGTAAGGTCCCGATGCCCATGGATCCAGTGACTCTGTTCTTCCAGATAATTCTAAGGCACAGCCAAGATTGGGAACCCTGGACTAAGGAGCCTGTGTCCTCCAAGGTCCTCAGCTAATGAGAAGACTCTCATTGTACCTCTCTTCTCTCATTATTTTTTCTTTTTTGGTACCAGGAATCAAAATCAGGACCTAGACCTTGCCAGGCCGGGGCTGTGCCGCTGAGCTGTATCCTTGGCCTGCTCCTATCTCTTTTAGTGAAATAATGTAGAGTTAGGGTTCTGAGAAGCATCTGAAAACATGTTGAGTTACTGGCTTTCTCTCAGTTTAGAGTGACTTTGTTGCTGACAAACTCTTCGCTCTTCATGGATGGGTGCCTTTGCCTGTCTTCTTGTCATATTCTTTGTCCTTCTCTACTGCCAAGCCTGAGACTGTGAATGTCAGACACTGACATTTCTAGGCCCTGGATGGTGGCACATTGAGTTACTGTTGCCTTAGAGAATTTCTACAGGGCAAACAAAAAGAGAGGAGAATTGCTAATAAGGTCCGAAGTGTGGGGGCTTTCTCAGGTGGAGGAGGTAGGGCTGGCAACTTGGCCCATTCTCTTGGGAGACAGAAGGTGTTCTGGGGCTGCCACAGTGAATACCCACTGCCCTCTCCTACACGGTGTCCCTGGCCTCAGACTGCAGTTGTCCCTGGCTTGAGAGGCCTTTTTGTGCACGGGGCAGTAGCCTTGGAGACCGAGTTGCTCATTGCCTGTGTTTACCCACCTCTCCCTGGAGGGTTGGAGCCAGGCGATCCTCTGGCTCTGCACTCTAATGACTGTGTCTCCTCCGCAGGGCGGACTCTGCTGGAGAAGCTGTTCAGCCAGCAGGAGAATGGGCCTCCAGAAGAAGCCGAGAAGTTTTGCTCCCGCATCATCGCCATGGGGCTTCTGCTTCCTTTCAGCGACTGCTTCCGGGAACCGTGCACCCAGAACGCTCAGTCCAGTTCTGCTCCATTTGATGTAAGTAGGAGCATTCACTTCTGCCTGGGAGGCAGCTTACAGCTGAAACAGCAACCATGGTGTGCGTCTGCCTGGTTACTCTGCGATTTCAAAACAACACGTGATGCCGACCTTTCTCCCCTGGGCCGTTCATTGGCTCAGCAGATCTGTTTCTATACTCTTCTTTTTGACTACAGCATTAAGTATATTTGCCAAGCATCCTTCACTTCACAGATGGCCACTCAACTCTTTCTAGACTGGTCTAATCAGGAATGAATTTTTTTGTTTTTAAATGATTTTTGTGATGCTGGACTAGACTCCAGGACTAGGTAAATGCTCTCCTATTGAGTTATATCCTCAGCCCATCTGTAGTGATTTTAAAGTGGATCTAAGTAGTGTTTCTGGCTTTGCTGGTTACAAGCAGCTCCACAGGGTGAAATGCTGTCCCTGTGGGTTGGTGCTTTCCATAGCCCCTGAGGTGCTGTACCTAGCTCAGTTAGTACCCTGACGTGGAGCAGTCCCTTCTGCTCCCTTCCTCGCTCATGCACCAAGAGTTTACGCTGTGGGACAGTCATTCAGAAGGCATGTTTATTTTTTGTCATGAATATCAGTACAGCTGGATTATCATATTCAAGCCGGAGTATCACTGATCTTTCAGGTATGTGATGCGTGTGTGACACGGGTTGTGATGTATGTTCATCCGATACCAGATATCGAAGGATTTCCTTAGGTAAATTTCTCTGGGACAGGCCATGAGCTAGTGGCTTCCTGGGGCAGAGCCCAGGATCTGAGTACAGGGAGCAAAGTGTCTCCAACCAAGCAGTTTCATTACATTTGTTTGGTTCTTGTCAGCTGCACCTCTTTTCTTGTGGTTTGCTTTGGCGTATGTGTTGTGTTGCAGACAGTGAAACGATGGAGTTTTAAAAGATAGCAAAAGTGAACGGAGGATGGGGTCAAAATACGGTCATAAATAATAAACTGTAGCTGTGTAAGATGGCACCCATTCCTGCTACCCCAGCTAGTCGGGAGGCTGAGGCAGGAGGCTTGCAAGTTCAAGCACAACCTGAGCAATTTATTGAGATTCTGTCTCAGAATAAAAAACAAAACAAAACAAAACAAAAAAGTGGTGAGGGGACAGGAGAATGTGGATCAGTGTAGAGGTCCTGGGCTTCGTTCCCAGTACCGTTGCAGACAAGTTCTGTGTTTCCCTGTTTTTCTTCTTCCCCTTCTCTAACCATGGTTTTCTCAGTCTCCCCTCAGTGTCTGCAAAATAAATCATGAGAGCTTCCTGATTCTTTACATCTGAAAGAAACTCCTCTGGGTTATGCTGTTGTTTAGGCACTTTCTTTTTCTTTTTCTTTTTTTTTTTTTTTTTAAATTTTATTGTGTGTGTGTGTGTGTGTGTGTGTGTGTGTGTGTGGCCAGCTCAGCCCACCAGGGGGCGGGGATGGCTGTCATGTGGTCCTGGGGGATTGAACCGCGGTCCCTGTGCTTTGCTAAGCTTGTTCTAAGTAGGTGCTTTAGACCACTGAGCCATCTCACCAGCCCATGTTTAGGCACTTTCTTTGTTGATTTTTAAAAAATTTAAATTTATTCCTAAGCTACTTTTTTTTCTTTAATACTGCTAGGTAGATCATTTCTTTCTACTGGAAGAATTGTGTATAGTTTTAATTTTTGTCCTGATTTCTCCTTTCTGAGAAATCTGTTATGTTGTAGAGGGAGAACCTCAGGATTTGTGGTACATTAAGTGTTGTCAAGCTGTGTTATGGAAAATACATCAATTAGGCACATTGGAATCTTAAATAAATGTAGTACAGATAAAGGAAAACTAGCTATGAATAGCACTTAATTTTTGATTAAGACTATTCCTAAATTAGCTTCAATTTTCTTCATTAAAGCTGAGAAGTAAACAGTGTTGTTAGTTAACATGTGCAATGGGATTAAGCCGCACAGAATATGATAACCCCTTTTTGTTCTCTCTTTTAAATTGTTTATTATTTATTTTTGCATTATTTTTTTATTTTATTTTCTTTTTTGCGGCACCGGGGATTGAACTCAGGCCCTTGCGCTTGCCAGAGAAGTGCTTATTCCACTGAGCCTTCTCCCCAGCCACTAACCATCTCCCCGGCCCCTTATTTTTGCATTATTGAGGATGAACCCAGGGCCTCATGCATCCTGGGCAAGCGCTTTGCCATGGGGCGACATCCCCAGTCCCTCTCTCTAGCTTTAAAAATTGAGCTCGCCTCTTACACTTCACCCCTCTCCGTTCTTGTGACCTTGGTGATGTTGTTTTGGAGGACAGCAGGGTTTGGCATAAAGAATGAGAAACAAACCCACAAAAAATTAAGTCGTTCTGTACTGCACATAACCCTTTCCTTGAAATGGGGGACTTTCTACCCCCAAGGCTGATGTGATTGTGTGTCCTTACTCTATCTGTGGACTCTGCACTAAGTCTCTACTTGTCCACACCAAACTGAACACAAAACAGAAAAGACAGTAGCAACTTAGTATCAAATCCAAGCCCAGATTATATGCACAATCCAGGATTTGCTTCAAAATCCAGTAAAGTAACTATTCAGGGGCTGTGGAGACTGAGGCATCCAAATGGGCTGGGGAAGAATATGCTTCTCCTTGGGGAGAGAAGTTGCTGATAATTAGTCTCTCTGATGGTTTCCAGAAAATAGCTGTTGGGAGCATTTCTACCCAGTAATTCTCTTGACAACGGTTGCCCTTCAAGACCTAATTCTCTGTAGGAATAGGCTCAGGGTTGGCAGTCTTCCTTGGCTTTGTAACTGTTCCGTTCCTCAAATACCCCTTTTCTATCTTCACATATATGTGTGATTTGAACAAAAAACACCTTTGGTTGAGCTCGTACTGAGAGTTTGCAAGTTGGCCTACTTCAGTTAACCCTTCTAATTTTAGCCTCATATTATACATTGCTAGGTCTATGAGCTATCATTTTGCTTTATAGAATGCTATGGAAAATACAGGCTTCATATTTTCTCTTACATTTTAGCTTAAGGACTTAAGAGCTTTGAAAGACATAAATAGCTTTGAGTGGTCACATTAATTTATTTACAGATGTTTCCCATGAACATTCTACATGCAAGGTATAGTTTTCCCTACGAAATAATTCAAGAAAAAGGGGAAGTTTTTTGAAGAAAAGAAAAGAAATGGAGTTTGTACACCAGGGATAGGCAGCCTTTGCACAACTTGAGAGTGTCTTAAAGGAATAGGGGTAGGTGTCTGGCAGGCTTCTATAGAAAAAGACCTTGTGAAGTTTCAACTTATGCAAATGATGGATCAAGCATGCTCAGTACTGAGTGTGCCAGCTTTATGCAAATGCACCAAGATTCCTGATTGGTTGATATTTACACATGACAGAACCTTGGGTAGTAGTAGCAGTTCATTGATCAGATGCAGGTGGCAGAATGAGCCTGCCAGGAGGAGACTGTTTCTCTTGGTAGCTGAAGCAGGAGCACAGCTCAGGCTAGGGCCAAAAAGCTCAGAGCCTTGTTCTCTGGGAACAGCCCATCAAATAAGGGATCTATTCAGAATTTTAAGCCTGCTTTGGACCCTCTTGGAGAGTCAACTTTCTGAAATCTAAGTAGTAAATTTGGGTAATTTAGGCTTCTGAAATATGTTAACAAGTGAATAAAATAAAATTCTTGTTCTCCTGAAATGTATGTCTTAATGGGGAGCACTAACAAATTTTAAAAGCACTGATTAATTTCTATCACATGTTAAGAGGTGCTGTGAAGGAAAGAACTCTGAATAATGTGTGAAGGGAATGGAGTAGGGGGTGATCGTGCAGAGGGGTCCTCTGTGGGGACTCATGAGGCCATTGTAAGGAGAGGTCACTCAAGGTAGCACCACTGTGACCAGTTCAGAGGACACGATGAGGTACACAAGGGGCTGGGACAATGGAAGACCAGTGAGCTAGGGCTAGACAGGAGAGGTTTCAGGACTCACAGTGGCAGTGTTTTGAAAAACCATGAAGTGAATATGGATTTTTGTTTAACAAAATGTGAGCTCTTTTGAAGTTTTGTGCAGGGGAAGAATGTAGTTGCTTTATGTGTTGCATAGATAGTAAGAGTCTTCTTATAATAAAGTCTCCAGCTTTTATATAGTAAGAGTGAAGGGACTGAGGTAGAAATAGTAATAGCAGGGAGGCTGTCACAGTTATTGAGTGAGTGAGAGGTGGTGGCAGCAGATATTGGTTGGGTATGATGATGTTGGTTCGGGAGATGGAGTTGGTGACCTGCAATGGATTCTGGAGGTGGGACTGTTGGGTCTTTTGGTGGGAGACCAGGGGAGAAGAAGTCAGGTGACTTGACTTTTGAAGTCGCTGGGTGGGTGGATGATTGTGACATTTACTGAGATGCAGACAGGTTCAGTTTTAGGAGGGAAATGTGGGGACAAAACTGGTGAGAGGGTGTATGCAGATGGACGTGAAGTTTTCCTCAGCTTCTGCTGTCATGGTGCGAGGATCGCGCACAGCCCTAAGTCAAGTCTCATATAAAGTGGCGCGGTGTCTGCATTTAACCTGTGCTCATCCTGTCTACCTGAAGTCAGCTCTAGATTGCTACATATTATGTAATCTATGTAGTATGGTATTATACACTTTCCTTGAGGAAGATTCTCTTTAGAAAATGCATGCTTAGCTTATCCGCTGACAAGTGTGAGTGGAGTGTTGACCTTTTTTTGGCTGAGTGGAGTGCTGACTTCATGAGCAGATCACTATTAGGGCCATCAAGGACAGGTACTGGCTTCTATAGAGCAGAAATAGATTTTGAGGTCCTCATTATTCTTTTTGTATTTAATTTAATTTAATTTATTTATTTATTTTTGGCAGAACTGGGGATTGAATTCAGGTCCTTGTGCTTGCTAAGGAAGCGCTCATTCCACTAAGCCATCTCCTGGGCCCCCCTTATAATTGTTTTTTTTTTTTCTTTTAAAGTTTTTATTTGTGTGTGTGTGTGTGTGTGTGTGTGTGTGTGTGTGTGTATGTGTGTGTGTGG